GTGTAAGGGTGTGGTGACCAGGTCACAAACTAGTTAATATTTTGAATAAAGACAACATAAAGAAGTATAAAGAGCAATGCTATGTGTACACAGAGAGACTATAACATTGAGCAATGATGACTTAGATTTAGGGTTATCCGAACCCGCCTATTCACATAGTTCATACCTACCATAGACTTTGGTCAGTCAAAATGACTATTTTGAACTGTAGGCATTAATCAGTGATTCTGCCAATGACGGAGAGATAGAATCTAGGTCAGGGGAAGCCCCATGACCCCAAGATTTTTTTCCATTACGTCATGAACCACGTGACCGACGTAATGTGGCGGCACCATCATACCCTGATATTCACCTGATATTCAAGAGTGGGGTGGTTGGGGGGACCTGGAGTCTATGGTGGGTATGAACTATGTGAATAGGCGTGTTCGGAGAAACCTCTGCATAAATTCACTACGTTCAATTACCCACCATAGACTTGAACTGTAGGCAGAGTCAGACGCCGATAGGTGGCAGGTTTCCTGAGCAAACAGAAAATGATGAAAGTCTTTTTTCCCATTCTGAGATGACACACTCTACAACTACCACTCATCATCTAGACCCCAAAAGAGGGTGGTGTCTTACCTTGCCTGTGCTGCCCCTGGAGCAAAACAGCCAAAAATGCTGCTACGGTGACAGAGTTCGGTGTGCCCAAGAAAGCTATATCCAAACCCAATTCAGGGGTAGTATGCTTTCGAAGTGAAGACCGAAACAGTTCTGCATGAGGACAAGAGGTCGAAAAGCGAGACCTGGAAACTTCCAATGAGTGCTGACGGTAGAGGAATCTGTTCGCAAAGATGCTGAGACCGACTCATTGCCTATGCGCAAGGACCCTTGTGGTCGTTCGGGCGGGGTCAGCAACTAGAGTCTGACCTGCTACGACGGGATCCAACCTAAAGAGGCCCTCCTCAATGGATTGGGTGTCTTTTAGGTAGTAGTTAATAAAGACGTTTGCGTGCTTCAGAAGCCTGCCCTCAGTATATGTTCGAGGGGGGTGTCTGATGCTTGCGCTAGTGAGTTAGCAATTGCACAGACCTCATGCGCTCGTACTTGGTGTCTCTGCAAGCTCTGTGTCGAGGAAGTTAAAATATTATATAGACCTCTAATACAGTCGCAGTAATTCACCTGGCGATGGAAGTTGGGAGGCCGGCCTATCCTGCCTGCCTGAGGATGACGATCAACTTAGGATCATGTCCTGGGATTTTGTTCTTGGCGAGGAACCAGATTCATGTCTTTAGCACAACTTGATTGTTCATAAGGGCGGAACAGTTGTCAAAGAAAGACAATGCCCCCAGTTCTGACTGACGCCTACCTGAAGCGAGGGCCAGTAGGAAGACCGTTTTCCACGTCAAAAATTTGAGTGGTGCTGATTATAGAGGCTCAAAGGGCGGTCTGCTTAGAGCGGACAGCACAACCAACAAATCCCAGTAAGGCAGTTCCCTTGTTCTGGGTTTCGGCCTCTGATTATAGAAGGCAGTAAATAGTCTCCTAATAATAGGACAATCGGCTAGTCTTGTTCCAAAAGCTTTCTCAATGGTGGGGGACAAGGCTAACCTGTAGCCAACGATTGCTGCGTAGGACAAACCCATGTCGTCAAACAGGTGCACAAAAGAGTCTGTTACCTGGCCAATAGAGCGATGTTGTGGATTGATCTCCCTTCCGCTACACCAATCAGTGTATGCTCACCACCTAGAATTATTGGTGGGATCCCTGTTCGCCCTGGCCAGGAAGTTGGCAGCCCGCTCAGACAAGACATTCGGTAAGTCCGGAAGCACTACTGGTGTTTCGACTAGCATTTCCAACAGAAGTGGAAACTAGGCCATGGTTGGCCAATTGGGTGTGACCAGTGTCAATATGCAGATGTGCCCCCCTGTCGAAGTTTTCTTCGGAACCCGGTAAACTAGCGAGAAGGGAGGAAAAGTGTATACATCTATGTGGGTCCACGAGATCGGCAAGGCATCCCTGGACAGGCTCTTGGAGTCGGCAGGAGTGTTATGTACATCGGGAGCTTGGCGTTCCAGGGTGTGGTGAACTGGTCATTCTTTGGACCGTCCCACAGCCAAAACAGCCTGGAGGCTACCCTGAGGGGTATCTGCCACTCCCTGTTCTTTAGACGGAGCCGCCTTGAAAGGGCGTCTGCCAGACTGTTCCTTACCCCTGGAAGGTGGTGTGCGGTTAGCTCCACATTGTATTCCAGGCATCAAAGGGGAATTTGCTCTGCTGGGACTGACAACGGGGCCGTATACCTTGGGCTTGTTCGTCTAATAGATGCGTTCCACAACCTTGGAGGGAAGCATCTGTTACCAGAGTCATAGCTGCGGGGAGTCGGTCCAAGAAGACCCCTTGTCCGAGGTTTGCCAGTGACGACCATCAAGGCATAGCTTCCTTCGCTTCATTTGAGATCTATACCTGCCTGTCTAGTTCCCGTAGGTGAGCTCGGTGTTGTAGCAACAAGCGTTGTACACGACAGCTGCGTAATGCGGCCTGGGGAACTACCCTTCGAATTGAAGTCATCATTCCAATGATCCACATTAGTTCTCTAAGGGACACTGAGGGAACGCTGACTAGGCGTGGATCCACAAAGGGAGGAGGAGGAAAGACCGCCAGAAGCACAGTTTCATCGTTGCCGGGTAAACCACCGCCTGAAACAACAGACTGTGAGGATGCCCTCCGATCAGGGGGGGGGGAGAATATCAGTACCTCCACCGTCAGGCCTCCTACTCAACGTCTCAGTACACGAAGTATCGCTAGCTGAGCATGAGGACTTTCCACTCATGCCAACACGCAATTCACTTTAACCAATTTTTACTGGACATGCGACCTTACTGCGAGCCTCTGGTGTTGTCATTACATCTATTCATTTCTAAATAGATTGGTAAAACATAAAAATGAACACGACATGCTTGAGGGAAGCGAAATACAGTTGAAAAGGTGACGCAAAAAAAATAACTAAATTGTGTCGCCGGGTTTTATTTTCTTTGTTGTGAAAAATTATACACACAAAGTGGGAAATCGACACTGGGGGAAAAATAATAAGAAAAACTTATCCTACCAGCCACAGTGTCGGCCACCGTGGCCGGGGTAGCAATCTAAGCTAGAAATCTGGACAGGAAAAGCAAGGCATTCCAGGCAAAGCTGTTAAACTTCACCCCCGTCAGTGCGCAGATAGAGAAAGAGTGAATATCAGGGTATGATGGCACCGCCACATTACCTAGGTCACGTGGTTCGTAACGCAAGGGAAAACAATCGTGGGGTCATGGGACTTCCCCTGACCTAAATTTTATCTCTCCGTCTTTGGCAGAATCGTTGATTAATGCCTACAGTTCAAAATAGTCATTTTGACTGACCGGAGTCTATGGTGGGTAATTGAACGTAATGAATTGACTTTTCAGCATAAACTCATAATTCTTTGAATGCAAAAGACATGCATTTAATATCAGTTCTGATACTTTCGTGTACAACAATTTTATAAAAAACAATACAACACGCACTTACCTCGCAAGTAATGGTAATGTTTGGATTCTTGCTAAGTTGACCAGAATTTGATCCATAGAATGCATACACCTCTCCCTTTCAAAATAATAACAGCAATTAAACCAAACATTGAAGTTTTATATTATTCTATCTCATAAACCAATTTAAAGCACTGAAATGGCCAATAGGTTAATTTGCATGCAAGCTATGGAAGTTGAAAATCATTTAAACATACATTTTTTATTTAAAAACTGTAATGCGATCATATATCTGACACTTAAAATAAAAAGACATGGTAAACAAACATGGGTTTACATACTTACTGTATACATAAGACTTTCTGAATTGACAGAAGGTGCACTAACAATTAGATCATTCAATCCATCTACATTAAGATCCATAACTAAGATGGCACTTCCAAATCTACCATTATACTGTAGTAAAAAACGTATTTAATTTGAAATTAAATTTTAAGCATAATAAATAATATAATAAATATACAGCACTTCAAACACTGAATAACACTGCATAATAAATAATTATTTGTTAATCTTGATACTTAATAGTCTTTTAACTTTTTCACCACCAGACCTTCTCACTCAAATTTTTCTACATTTTTTCCTTATATTCTTCAATATTTCTGGAAATGAACCCTAATTTTGGAGCCACCAGACAAAATTTGAGTAAATTTTCAGTTTTTACTCAAAAAATATGGATATTTTTGTCCCAATCTACTGAAGGAAAGTGCAGACTATAAACAGGACTATTTTGTAAAGTTGTGATGAAAAGAAGCAACTGGTGGTGAAAGGGTTAAAAAGATAGTACCAATTTCCAAGAAAGCAGAGTTCCAGTTATCATGTAGTATTGATCCACTATTATGACCAGGATCCTGTGATTTTTTTTACATACACTGAGGACAGCACACAGAACAGTTTTACATCCTCAATGACAGAACACCATTCTTCCAACTAGTGAAGCATTGAGCCAGTGGTGAGCCAACCACAGGAATCAAACCCACAAATTTTCCTGATACTGGACTCACTATTAAAACACACAGCAGATTTAATAGCCAACCACAGAAATCAATCTGAAATCTCCCTGATGTTGAACAGACATGGTATCCATTAAAACAAATACCAGGTTATATATTACCTTGATGCCTTCTAGGATCACATCAGCTTGTTCATTTAAATCTTTATCTAGTAATGGCAATCCTGTAACTTTCCCATACACAATATAAACACGTCCTTGCTGGTAGTTGTTGTTTACGTATAACCTGGTGCCCCAATAAGTAAATCCAGAAATCCATCATTGTTTATATCAGCAGTAACTATCTTCCTAATTATGAAAACAAATTGCAGTTTCTATGAATGATGTTTTATTTGAATGCTCAATATTATGATTACAAATCATTGTTAATGATACAGTCATGTTGCAATTAAAATGAATGTTATTCCTGAAATCTAAATTTTATGCAAATGAGTTATAAATTATTTGTTTGTATGCAAATTACCTAGAGTCATTTTATTACTTCTTTATATGTGGTGAATGACAAGCATTTACAGGTAATTTGTCATTTGTCATGTCTGTAGTTTTAACAGTAACATAACATAACAGTACATCTCATGTTTAGCATGTTACATGTACAAAACAGTATTAACAATTTAAAGGTTAAAATAGTTAAGTTTTGTTCAACATATAAAAATGTAAAACTTGCCATCCAAGATGGGTATATGGAGTTTTAACACTGTAGGTTGCATCAGGCTTTGTCAGATCACCAGCTTCAACATTCCCACCATTTCTTTTTAGTTCTTCCAAGTTGAGCAATTTGTCCTGGTTTTTAAAAACAAAATCAGTCATATCAACAATTGCAGCATATTAACTTTCAACCGAGCCGTTTCCAACATTGTATGAGCCACCCACAATGCAGCATGTGTCGAAACAGTGTTACCCACAATGCAGCCTATTTCTCAATTGTAAGAACTACCCACAATGCATGTTTCAGTATGTTACTCAAAGTGCTACATGATTCTCAAATGCAAGTTACCCAAAATGCAGTATACATAGCGGGACTCCAATGAGTGACTGCATGATATTGGATTTATCAAATGAAAGTAGTAATTTTCAAAGGCTCGAACATATGAGAATTACCACACAGGTTTAATAAATCCAATATCACACGGTCACGAATTAAAGATCCTATTTATCCCATGTAAATTACCGACACAATTGAGTTTCTGTTTGCTGTCGTGATATTGACAAAATAAACATCCTGCATAGTAATTTCATTCCAGCACAAGTATATTTTGAAGGTTGAATATGAAGCATAATGTGATTTATGCGATTTATATGCATGCAACTTTAATAATTATGGTGTTTACAACAGTACAATAAATTACAATGACAAAAGGTAAATAAAAAAGAATAAACTGATGCCATATCAAAGTAGATATGGTAATAATCTGATTGCCACATTTCTGGCAGCTGCAGATGGCAGGTAAAAGGGATCAAATACTATAGTAACGGATATTCAAGTATGAGTTCCAGTGCAGTGGCATGAATGAGTAATTCTCATTCTCATCTTTAGATTGTGAGAAATCCAATACAAGTATTCTCCATTGTTTTGCTGGTTAATTGTAATTGATGTATGTGTACATTAAATACACCTCTGGAAACCGGACCACCAAATATTGGCGCTGTTGTGGACTCATGGCGACTGACACTCATGTTCGATGAGTTTATCGTAACATGGGTGATTTGTTTAGTACCGGTAGATTGAAGGAATTTTCGGTCATGTGATGTGCTACAATTGGGGATGTTTTCTGTATTATTTAGGATGCCAGAAATCTGCCCATGTTGCATCTCAGAAATGATACTGTATGTGTTGACCAATTGGATATTCTGGTTATTAGCATGATGTGTGTTGGTGGAATATTTTAGTCGCTTAATTTCTGGACAAGATGTTTCCTTGGACTGTGGTTTGTTAGCTGCAGTTGCCAGCTTTTTCATTATAGTACCAATTTTATTGATACTGAAATGGTTGTCGCCGAAACCACTGTTCCCCTGGTTTTGATATACCATGGGAAGGAGTGCTGATAAAGGAAGGGTCATCTGCGTTTGAGAAGTTAGCGGGCCGCAGGGATGCATATTTCTTAAATATGGTGATAGAACATCTTTCACCGATTGTGGTTTCAACATCGTTAGGTTGACTTTTCTGTTATTGCGATGATTTTCACCAACTTTTTTATTTTGATGTTCTGTAAACTCTAAATATATGTGTATGGTGCTGTCTATGTATAACTGGATGTCTCCCCAACAAATTATAGTACTCGGTATCACCACGTAAACCCAAATGAATGGTGTTGCGAAACCACAGTGTATTGATTATCATTTCAGGACTATGCAGACCAAATTGTTCCAATTCCCATAGTATTTAAACTTTCCTTGGTGGGTTATGCTTCCCATCTTTCTTTTGTTTTGATTTTAACATTTCGTGAAGGTCACAGATTCTCTTGAAACTGGACATCGAAGATCAAAAGGATCTCAGCTCATAGTTGTTGCCATTCATTTTGTGGAAACTGAAGATTAATTTTGCCAATTTTTTTTCTAGCTCATGAGGAGGTAATCCATGCATTTCTCTCTACTCTTGTATTGCTGGTGTTGGCATAAACCTTTTCAGTAACTTCATATCGTACAGCATTTTCATGGCTGTGTTCTTTTTTTTGTGCCTCGATCGTCTTTTTGATATTGTTGTCGTCACTGATACAAAGTAGCTTGGACACGTGGCAGTGTCACGCTTATTTTGTGGTGTTTGTAAGTTTTACACTAGTAAATTCATGTTACCCACAATGCAAAGTTATGCCTCAGTATGAGTTACCCACAATAGAGCATGTTACTCAACAAATCAAGTTACATGTACCCACATTAATTGAAGCCTACGTTTCTCATAACATATTCATCAACTGTATATTTACAATGCACAATAAAAAGTACCTGCAGACTTTTAGCTGGACTAAGATACACTCCCTTAGGGGTTCTTTTCATGATGACATCATCCAGTGTAAGACCACCTAGCTGTAGTCTGGAATATAAATGAGTTCTTCTTGGGTGTCTTTCATAGTCCTTCAGTGCAAGTGATGAATTTTGACATCGGATATACAATGGATTGTGTGGGACATCACAGTCACTATAGCAACAAACAAAACATGTTATAAAACTTCTGATCTATGCTAATTACTGGAATGCTGTTACATACTTTACAAGTTAAATTATCTAATCATTAGCATATTCCACTCAAGCCAATCAAATTTGAAGCTGCTATGATAGGTTGTTGTAGACTAGGCATTGACATGTTAAAATGTTAAAAATCCTATCAGGATAAACAAGCGAGATTTGGATGTGCCAGTTATCGGGGGCAGACATCTGGGCATTTCCATCATCTGGCAACCATCATTGTGGAAAAAAAAGTCGTAACTCGCAGAAAAATAGTTTGGGATAGTTTTGAGACTCTACTGAACAGTGCAACAGGATTACCCGGTACGCCTACAACATACAATGTACATGTATGCAAATTTGGTTGCTCATGAATACTTTAAATTTGAGTTTGTGCAGTTTCCTTGACTTTAGCTGTTTTCACCGGCTACTCAAACAGTGTTCACAGCAGCTTGTGCAGAGCCCATAGGAATACATGATACAGTGGTGCGCATCTTAGCAACATAGATCGTTATGTGAAGTAGCTTCGCTCCTAAAGATATGGGCATACATGAACCGGTACATCTAAATTCTAGGTTCAGTTTTTGTATGGCAACACAGACAAAAATATGCTTACTCATTAAATGCCACATGCAGAGCCATGTTTGATACAAGTCCCATAAAACATGTGTAAAAAAAATTTGTTCATGTGCAATGACATTAAATATATTATGTTAATACTACCAATAATTAGGTAATAATTAAAGACTTACTGCATGCCATGATCAATCATATGAATAGTATTATGCCAAATATTCTGTGACCAAACAGCCATGTCATCTACACCGCCAAGGAAGTAACTCTGGTATTGTTCCATCAAGAATGGTGATTTCTTTGAATACAGTGGGTACAACTGAAGTAAGAAGGAGTTAATATTAACATCAACAACATTAGAAAATGCTAATTAATTACTGATGACTGTGAGTCAACTGATGTGTTAAAGCAACACGTTCTTCAGTACTGAACGTGATTACCAAGTGAAGAATAGGCAGATAATGTAGAACATTTTAGAATCTCACCTCTCCAACTGCAATTCTTTCACCAAATCTGTGCACGAAGAAGACTGCAGTAAACAGATCTAGTTGTGTTTTGGAAAGTTCATTGGTTCCCAAAAAAACATGTAGCGGTTTGTTTGTTTGTTTGTTTATGTATGTATAATTGTTTATATATTTATGTATTGTGTGTTATAGTTGCATTCCCATTTTAACAAATCTTTGAACAATATATTAGCCATCAAATGTTGAAATTATGGATGGGTAATATGACTTTAACTGCAGAATTTGAATTTAAGCGAGTTTCTTGAATTAAGTTAGATTTGTAAACAATGTACAATTATATTGTTGGTATGTTTGTCTACAAGCCCTCCAGTACTCTCAAAATAAAATGTGCAGAAAAAATAGGGCAGGATATATTATTATATCATATTTTTATACTTGAACAGCATCATTTGAACACATTTTATGCCATGTTCTGAGAGTGATATTTTAAAAATTTACAAAGTGGGAATGTAACTTTAAGGAAAACCATAGACCTTAGAAAACAGGGGGGACATGCAACTTCTGAGACAAAAGAAAATCCAGTTTCCTGTGTGCAAGTGGGTTATAATCTCCTGTATAGATAATCCCATTAATACATATACCTGTACATCTGCAACAGTTTTTATTAGTTCTTTTATTTTTTTATACGTTTGATAATTTATGCTGTGCCAATATTCACATTTGTCAGTGTATAACGGTTATAAATATGATGAAAAATCCACTTGTTATAATGACACAAATTTTGACAGGTCATTGCTTACGTTTAGGCAGTTTTGTTTTCTTGTCGAGAAAACTGACCATTTTTATTTCCCTTTCCTGTTTTCATAGTAGAATAAAAACTGTTAACTTTGCAATTTTTAGTTTCACTTGTATCAATTGAATGGACTTGGCTATTCAGTTTTAATCAAATGTAATTTTTCTGATTATATTCTAACCACAAAGTTGGCTCATTTTGTGTAGCTACACCCTGGCAGCCATGTTTGGCTTATGGAACAGGAGAGGATGTAACAGTGGTGTTGACATAGCTTTATTGTCAGTTTCACTAAGGTGTTAATTGGGTAGAGGATTATAACTAAGGTTACATGAAAGGGATACCCACAGTAGCATGTCCCTGTTTTCTAAAGTCTGTAGGAAAACTTAGAAAGCTAAATGCAAATGATATTTTCAAAGAAAATACAAATAATCTGTTTGTGAATCAAGTGAATTAAAGGCCACGTTGTCAGTTTCAATGTAAGCATGTCTAATAAATAATTACCTTGCAAGAAACATCAAAGCTGCACATTCTTCTAATATAGTTGGAGTGATTACTTTCTTAGCATAGAAGTCTTGAAAAATTTCAATGAGATCTTGTACAGGGATGTACCTATATATGAACAGAAGGCATTGATGTAAATGTTATCAACACAGCCATCTTAGCATACTGATGACCATGTGTTGTGTTAGTTACATAAAACTAGGATGAGTATGGAATCAAGCGGGGGGGGGGGGGGGCATTGTTATAATCATAAACCACACTGTTGTGAGTAGAATCATATAAACTATTTGGTTTCATGACAATTACAAGGTTCTAGCACTAACAAGGTAGTTATTTGTGAATGCATCTGAAACAGTTCCCACCTCACTCTGCCTTCCAAACCCACTGGCTTGAAAACTTCATTAATTTACATAAAAGCAACAAGTGAATGCTTTGTTATTTTCTAATCATTAATACTAATATAGTCATATTTTGTTTCAACAGTTTGAGTGAAAAAGCAAGAGTAAAACTCAGTTTTCTACAGAGCTGTAATCACGTTCTCTTGAAAAACAAATACTAATTGTGAAAGTGCAAAAGTTTTGAAAAAAGTGTTGATAAATTCAAAATAAATTTAAATTACCATTCAGTTAGGGAATGAATATAATCCATATTGAACTCAAATAGTGCAGCAATATCTCCTCCTGCAAAGAAACACCAAGAGTAAACAGCCACCTGACACAAGAGGGTGCACAAGCATAAACAACCACCTGTTCATGGCATTACAAAAACAAAGGAGTATATACAAGACGACACAAGAGGGCGCTACTGTGACTGAAGCTTTATGACAAGCACAATACATTTGTATGTGATGCAATTAAACTGAGCTAATTATACATACGATAAACACAAATCAAATTGACTCTTCAAAAGACTAGGCAGTTGACAATAAAATACTAATTACTTCTCTTGGATCTCAGTATAAAATACAAATCAGTTGATAAAAAACATTTTTGATAATTTCCAAATGAAGTAATTCTTACCTATATCACCAACATCATGAGCGTCTTCAAACGAGCCATAAAAATTCACCTTGAAGAAAAAAAGAATATTGTCCATATTGATAAAATAATCAATCTATTGTAGCTGAAATGATCACCAGAATTATTTACAAATGTATTAGCAAGCCCACCTAAGTTTCTGATAAAATATTCTTGAATTGGTCTGTGAGTGACATAACTACAGGAGTTTTTGCTATTTCCATAGAAACCTGATTTTGTATAAACAGAGTTTATATGATTAATTCAATTTCATATAAAAAGCCAAATAATACAAATAAAAAGGATGATCCTTTCATAGATACAGTATTTTTCAGCAGCACTCACACATGTCGTGAATAATTAGAAAAACTTACATATAATTATGCATTCTTCTCAATCTTTTAACTCCTAAGTAGTCTTTCCAATGCTAATTTTTTTTCTTCCAAAAATTTGCAAATTTTTTTAAAAATTGTTTGGTTAATCTTGGTGCAAATGGAAACAGTTGAGTTAGTTTAATTTCTTCCACACAACCTGAATTTGGTTTTCACAGTTAAATGTGTGTACATGAGTTACCTAATGTGTCTAATCTTAGCTTCACAAAATTTGAGTTCTCCAATTAAAATTGAAAATGGTCCCCATTTAGGGGTTAGCTATTTCACTAACAAAAAAGACAATTTTATAGAAATGGTGATTTCATTCAAGAAATGTTGCCATTAGGAAATTTCAAAGTTCATAATTCCATTAAGGGGAAAACACTACCTTGCCCATTGTCTGTAGAAATCCTTGATCAATTCCCAAACTATGCCAGCTGACATCAGCAACATCATGGGAAACAAAGCCAAGTAAAAATACAACTAGTTTTTCTGTTTCCTGAAAATAAAAGCAAGTTTCTGCATCAAAACCTGATTCTGAGGGTGTGTACATTATTTGATATACCAAATCAGCACATTTCCACAAACAACAAAATGGCCATAGTTACAGGGACATTTAACGATTCCTTGACAGTCATTTACAAATTGTTGTAATTCTGAAAATAAAATAAATATAGCATGCTGAATAAAATTCTGATTAAAATCTGTTCAGTCTCTAATTTTTTTGCAGTTATTTTTTTTAACTGCCATTATTATATTTGTTTTTAATATCATCTACACCTATATTGTTGGTGATGTTTATCATTTTTATCAGCCTTCAGATAAACAGCTATATCCAGTTTATAAAAATTATTAGTTTGTTTTTAAATTCAGAAAGTTGAAATAAAAAAAATGTATGACACAATACTACACTTACTGGACTCCACGGCTTAGGATATTTTGTTCTGATGTAATTAACAGTGGCATTGATAAATTCAGACCAATGGGTGTCTTCTGATACATCATGATATTTGCCTGTCAATATATGCAAATTTGAACACATGACAAACGTATATTCAGATCTACAATTCTGCTAATTTAAAGAAAACACACTAGGGTAAACTGGACAGAACGTGGGTACCTGAACTGTTCATCAGTAAACTACCATACCTAGTGGTAGCAAATTTAAGTTTGTACTTCCTGGCTGACATTTAGTAGGTCCTTCATTCAAATGCTAACAGTTTTTAAAACCAGCAAAAATACATTGACCCAAAACAACTGGCCATGATTTATTAAGATATACAACAATGGGGGGATCTTGGTCAGCGTGGGCTATGTGTTTGATCAAATGTGCTTAATACATGCTCATTAAATTGTCATAATTCCATCACAAAGGAATACATGGTCGCATCCCTATCACGTAGTCTCAAACATGAAATATTGTTTTCATAGTTGACACAATTTATCACAGATATCAAGAATGCTATTCAGGAGTGACAGACTGTAAACCGTTTAATTTTCACTGCTAGAAATTGTTGCCACTGTGTTGTATCACTGACACTGTTGTATGACCTCCTGAACTGCATTCTTCACCACAAAATGGCCATCAGTTGGCCATTTTGAACTTGATCCGCCAAATAAAATTATGATCATCATGGTCAAACCAAATCCATTTCCAGAATATGGTGAAAATGTGTGATTTTGATGCATTTTTGGTCTTAAAATAGCTGACATTCGGCAATCTTGAATTTGATAATGAAAAAATGCAAGTCCGATAAAATGCCATATGAGTGAGAAGTTTTATTTTGTTCTCACCATATGACTGGATATGCATTATATGCATATAGATAATATACTTCAATTACCCAAGTAGGTTAATGCACTGCTCTCAATTTTGAACAAGCATGCCCGTTATTAACAAACCACAGAGCACTTAAGGACCTTGCAAAAATGTTGCATCTGAATATGTCTTCTTCAGAGCATGAGGTGTTACTGGTGCTGAACAACTAAGCAATAAGACTAAGGAAATGAGTCTTCTATGCATTCATAGAGTAAACACAGAAGCGTAATTTAGTTGAAAATATATTTCTGAATCCGTTTCCCAATACCTAAAATGTGAACGAAAAAAAAACTTAAAACAGCTTAAGCTGATATTATGTTTACAATAAATAAAAAAAAAAAAAACAGTTGGTAGACAGTTTATTATGTCATTGTTTACGACAATCTCCGGTTGTTGATAGAGATTTTCACAACTGCAATGTCATTTTCAGGGCCTGAACTGGCGCAAATTACTTGATCAAGAGCATTTTTACCTTTAACTCGTGAATAGAATGTCTGCTATATAAATATTCAGGTTGAAAGTAATCCAACGATGTATAGCCAGAATTTTTTCTCATTCAAGCAAAAATAAATGTAATTTTCATCTATTTCGCTGACTATTAAATATGTATTGATAACTTGTAACACTTATAGCAGAAGTGCATGGTTTTATTGTAGTGAGCAATATTGTGATCAAAATAGGATTACTATAGAGGTTGCCTTGACAACTTGCTTTAATACACTCAAATAGAGCAAATATGGTATGTTCATGTTCTCACCCTGTAGACAAATTGAATCATAGAAGGTATCTGGAAACGGATTACCAGCTTGAAAAGCATCCTGATGTTGATCAATCAACTATAAAAAATCAAAAGAAAAAGAAAAAAAATTATGAAATTATCCATAATCTAGTTCTTTCCAGCATCAACACAAATAATTTATGAAGATTAATACATGTATAAACGTATGATATATAATCCAGTGATTTGATTGGTTCATATAAACAGTTTGACCCTTGACCTCACTAAGTTATGTTGCATTCAATTCTTACAAAATGTGAAAGGCTGCTGATAGAATTAGCCAACAATTTACATAAAGTGTTGACAAATGTCCCTATAATCATTAATGAATTGATGGGTTCAAAAATGAATTAATTATTTAATCGCATGTTCAAATAAATATCCTAATGATAGTTTTTTGCTGGCAAAACCTGGGTGAAATAACTGGAAATGCTTACAAGTAATGAATAGGATATCAAAATTATTGTGTGAGGCTTGTAATGAAATATGAAAATTATTATACCTTATAATATACATATATATATAAAATTACAAGGTCACTCGTTGGTCGCCATGACTGCCTCAACAGCAGATGATGATTTTGAAATAGTTTAAAGTGCACTCTGGCTAATACACAGCATATAATATGTAAAATACCTGTCTATAGTCAGTACTGTCTGATTGGTGTATATAACATACCTGTCTATAGTCAGTACTGTCTGAGTGGTGAATATAACATACCTGTCTATAGTCAGTACTGTCTGATTGGTGTATACATGTATAACATACCTGTCTATAGTCAGTACTGTCTGATTGGTGTATATAACATACCTGTCTATAGTCAGTACTGTCTGAGTGGTGTATATAACATACCTGTCTATAGTCAGTACTGTCTGATTGGTGAATATAACATACATGTACCTGTCTATAGTCAGTACTGTCTGAGTGGTGTATATAACATACCTGTCTATAGTCAGTACTGTCTGAGTGGTGTATATAACATACCTGTCTATAGTCAGTACTGTCTGAGTGGTGTATATAACATACCTGTCTATAGTCAGTACTGTCTGAGTGGGGTATATAACATACCTGTCTATAGTCAGTACTGTCTGATTGGTGTATATAACATACCTGTCTATAGTCAGTACTGTCTGATTGGTGATATAACATACCTCTATAGTCAGTACTGTCTGATTGGTGTATATAACATACCTGTCTATAGTCTGTACCATCGGAGTGGTGCTGAAAAAATGACGCTGCTCGATGTGCTGAAAAGAATAACCAGGAAATAGAAATTTAATGTATTAATTGATGTAAAGCTGTTATATTTTTTTCATGATGTTATAACTACTGTTTTTGTAACCATGCTATCTCTACCTACTATTAAAATGTGAATTGACATGTGATTAGACGCACAGACACCGAATGTTGTTACACTGTTTCCATGACACTTAAGGTAGAAGCCTAATCATAATTTTTGACAAAATTGGTCATAAATCGCATGACAATGTTCATTAGTTTATTATGTACAATCATAAAGCTAGTTTCCCATGGTACTATGAAATAGCATTATTTTGTGTGTTACAGTTGGGCTTTTTGAGAAACGTGTCCTAATATTTCTTGAAAGTTGCTATTTTTAGAACTATTCCATAGAACACAATATTAAAGAAAAATTGTATTTTTGACACTTTTTAAAACCCAGATTTTTTAAATAATTCAGAACAACAAAAAGTACTCCATCATTAACAAAATGATTTTTTCAGCCAATGTCACCAGGTTTAGTTTTTGAGATATTGCATACCCGGTAATATCTCTGCCATAGGAACCTGTGGTAAAATCGTTATAATAGTGTCAAAATGGCGACTTTCCACTAAAATACAACCATCAATTTCTCAAAAAAAAGGCTGGTGACCCCCAACTTTTTTCAGGTCAATATTCTTATATTGCCTTGGAGTACAATTTATTGCGAAATGAATAAATTCTGTTTTTTTTAATTTATGAGTAGGCATCTATCTTAATGGTATATAAATTATGACGACTGCAAATTCATTGAGGTTCTTTCAATGATAACAACTTCCATAACATTTTCGTTGTAACAACTGTGTCTCTAACAATTAGAAGTATGTAAGTATATGCAAGACTAAAAAAAATTTTAAACAATAAAAAAGATTTCGATATTTTCTAAATATCATTTATTTTCACACTAATTTTAATCATTTTTGGATTCAATTACAAAGTCTTCAAATGTTATCTTATGGCTAATTACATTATTGTTTAAATACATTCAGCAACGAAATCCAGATTTCGCCTTGTTATGTTTACAGACTATACAAGTGAAAATTCATTGTCTATATTTTAAAGGGCGGTGCTCGTCGTGCAGCGCGTGTTCGAATACCGCGTAAAAAATAATGTATTTTACACGCGTTGAGTACGTCGCTATGGGTATCGAACAGAACACAGCGCTTGGATGGGGTGACTTGCGGGTTGTCAACATGGCCATCAGTAAGTTATCTGATCTACTTTATACTCAGAACTAATAAAATAGCCCATCGCTTGTGTTCAAACAATATTTAACCTAATCTTGTCAGCCTCGAGTACTTTTACGTGTATTCATTGACTTGACCACATAGAGTTATTAGTAAATCAAAACAGTCCCGTCTTATATAAATCATGTATCAGGTTCGACGACGTCACCAGGTAGCCCCGCCCTCCGCCTGCCCCTTCAGACTTCAACACTGGCCGTTGCGACTTACCAATTTCTGTGTGAGTGATACCTCCGCAACAATCATGACCAACTGTGCACAATGTTATGAACAACGTGACCACGTTCATGAAGCTCGTCAATAAAAAGCGGTAACTCATCTTCCAAGCTGTTGTTGATAACTTTGTTTGTTCCCCTAGGCAAGCGACAGTTATTACTTGGATTTTTCAGATGTTTTCGTGTATAGCAATTTGCTAAAATAAATAAGTTCAGAGTTGTATTGGTTAATTTCAAATATGACATTTAACTAATAATCTAATGCTAGTTATTGACAGTTAACAAACATTTTCTTTAATTCCTTTTTATCACCATGATGAGGGGTCTTCTAAAGAAAAAATGGCGTCCCACCAGGTTCTTCACGAAGGCGACGACGCTCCAGATTTTTTCGTCACCGGTGATCCTGCAGAACACATCTCAAAATGGATCGATGAAATTACAACACATATGGAAAATAATTTCCGTGTGGTTGGTGCTTTTGGTGACCGGGATTTTATCGGAGGACCGCCAATACTAGTTCAGATAACGGAATTCATAGACACATGTAAACGAACCATAGTGGTATTCGACGGACGCAGCCGATGGGCAAACTACGCCGCGCAAATGGTCATACATCGAATGTTCCAGGAGAACGCTGAGAAATGTAACGAACGTCTTATCATCGTTTTACGAAACAAAGAAGCTGCAAAACAAGTGCCAACATTTCTGCGAAACAACCACACACTCAACGCGGATGCGAAGGATTTCTACAATAAGTTGTTCTACAGTGTCAAAGGTTACAGCTCGAAAGAAAGGTATAACCTAAACAAACAGAACGAAATTTTACCAAAGCAAGAAACAGAAAACCCCGGTGAGTGAAAATATATATGAGTGAACTATTAGTTTTAAATTGACCCACTGCTATAGTACCGTAATTGAACACCAAGTATATGTACATGTTAGATCATGTTAGGAAATGTAAATTTTGTTAGGAGTGGGGTGGCAGATATGAGTTATTTATAGGTTAAAATTTTGACCATTCTCACGTCTTTCTCACGTACGTGAGTTGGGCCGGAAATTAGCCATTGTCACGTAATTACTTTTTCTTGCAGGAGTTTGACAGTTTCCGGTCAGTTCTCACGTGCGTGAGAATGGCTATTTTTT